GGAAGTACCCATCTTTCCAGCACATCTTTTTAAAGGTTCATCTAAATTTGGGGGGAAAGGAATTGAAGGAGCTATAGGTCTTTTAAACAACCAAAGGGTTCACTTGTGAGAGGATAAGTGCCACAGAAGCTATGAAAAATCAATACTGTTCTCGGAGGAGTTTCGAGTCCTGTGGATATTACAAACAAAAGGAAGCCCACTCTAGGCTCCTAGCTGGTTGGTTGTGGCTGGCTCCTGTGGATCTAGAACCAGCTGTGGTATGTCCTAAGCACTGAGGCAAAGAGGAATCCTTTACTTATTTATTTTTAAGAGGAATTCTTTTTAAGAAATTGAGGCATCAAAACTGCTGCCCAGCTTTCTCTTACCTTGGGAGTTATGGGCAAAGGGTTTCTCATTCCTCTCATAGTATCTCAAAGTACACAGTGCTGCCAACCCTCAAAAAAAATATGGGTATGAGAGATGCTCCTAAAACCAGCCTATTAAAACCTTCTATTTCATGATGGAGTCACATGGTGCTTCCCACTAACTTTGTTCATTCATTCATCCATCCACTGGAGGCTTTCTCTGAGGAAAGCATTGTGCTAGGCACAGGTGGCTGAATAAAAATAAATCAGGCACAGAAACAGCCCTCAAAAAAGCAATTTCCATCCATCTGGAGAGAATAAAGATAGTAGGCCCAACCCTACAAGCAAGCAGAATTACTTGATGTGACTTAGAAAGGAAAAGCAGGCTCCCAGCGGTCTTCTACTCTTGGCCTGGTGCCCACAGTCCCAATGGGTGCATCCTGGAGTGTTTATTGAATGCATTCACTCCTTTGAGTTGTCAAGGTTCAAGGTATCAAGGTTTGCATATATTAATACAAAGCAAAGAACTGATATGTTAAAGAACCCCAGCAGAGAATGAGAGACATTATAACATTGGAGGAAAGTAAGGCTTCATGGAGAAGATGGCATTCATTTGGGCCTTTCTTGGGGAGATCTTAGAAACACGAGCCAAGGGGTGAAAGGTCTTTCAGACCAAAATGACAACATAGCAACAGCTAATTAAATACAGCAAATATTTGTAGATTTCCTTTTACAGGGCCTTGGGATACAAAGAGACCTAAGATAATCCCCAGCTTTGAAATGGTTATATTTGAAATAACAGAGGAAGTGAAACATATCAGGCACTGCGGGGGCTGGATGAGGAGAATCAATCGGACCAGAAGGTCAGGGTTGTCTCCTTAGAAGGGGGAATGCCTAGGCTGAGTTCCAAAAGACCCAGAAGAGGGAGAGAAAGGTGCCCCTTCAGAGAACTGTGAGAGAACACTGTGATTTCAGAGGATCTGCCTGGAAGGGAAGTCATTGCAGAGGGAGGAGTAAGACAGAAAAAGCTGGAGAGACAAAAAGGAGGTGTCAGTATAAAGAAATGCAGCATTTTACCTGGGAGAAAAGCAGCCAACACTGGAAGGTTTTAAACCAGGGGTGAAATGAAAAATAAACCTTTAAGGGAGGTTTCAGCAACAGCGTGACCCTGGCTTGGAGGAGCCCAGGCTGGAGACCTGTGGACCCTCTAGAAGGCTGTGGCAGCCAAGGGTGTCACCTGAGTGTAAAGAAAAGGGTAGAATCAGTAATATCTGAGGAAGTAGAATTTATGGGACTTGGTGACCTGCTGGCTGTGGGTTGAGGGACACAGGTGGGATGCAGGATGATGGTCTTGAAAGTCAACTCCACTTGACTATAGAAACAAGAAGTCATGGCCAAGGGCTGGAAAGAAATGTATCACCAGGCCTGCTGCTGTATGGGATGGTTTTGCCTCACAAGAAAACCTTAATATCCTACCTCCACCCCCTATTTGGGATAAATTTCTTTCCTTGGAGAAATAGTGACCAGGATTGAGATTTTCTTGAACCCCCACCCCCACCCCCCAGTTTTCTTTCTCTCTGTGGACTCCACATTGATCTTCATCAAGGGCTTCTTAAACATTCCCTCCTGCTAATCCCACCTTTTCCCTCTGAACATGCTCTGAAATGGCTGATAGAGGTTCCTCCCAGATAGTTGCACCTAACAGCGAAGTCTAGGGCACCCCAAAACCGCCACAAAAGGAAAACACACACACACACACACACACACACACACACACACAAACACACACTGTACATACACACAAGCATTGGCTTGGCTGGAGTCTCAGGCACAAGGAAAGACAGCCACTGATAGGAGAGCTTTCTCTACTCAAATCACATTGAGAAATCCCAGCGTGCTCTGAGGCCCGGCTCCAACCCCTTTTCTACCTCACTAACACCAGACTATCAGAAGTGGGCCATCATTCCCCTTCCTGATAGGGCTGCTGATCACAGAGCTTTCCAAGTGTCTATTTTTTACATAGCTATCTCCTCTCTTTACCCTCCTCTACCTGCCAAGTTGGAATTTGCCAAGTCCTCCCTTGGCCCATCCACATGGACACTGTGTGGATGAAATCCTGGAAGCTCTTATGTCCAAAGTCAAAGCAACTGGCAAGGCACCCTGCAGAGAGGACAGAATGGAGCAGGGGACAAACAACTGTCCACCATTGCCACCATGGGGAATGATCAAGACATAAGCAAATTCTCCTAAGACTATGTGCACACAAGAGGAATAAATACACCCCTTAACCAGATCCAAGTAATCTTTTCATCTGCAAAGGTGTCCCCAGATCCCCCACAGAGGGCTTTCTGTACTGTTGCTTTAAATGTAGTGACGCTGAGAAGCACCTGTTTCCCTCACTCACCCCCTTACATGACCTCAGGCTTCTACTCTGTCATGAGGCAGGAATCATCCAGGAGAAGTCTAAAGCCAAACACAAGAGGGCATATTAAGTCTCGTTGTTCTGCAGATATTTACACCACCATATAAAAATAGGTGCCCACAAGCAGGAGAGATGGACAGAAGCCACGGGACCTAAAATGTCCCACACTCTGGCAAAGAGGGGGACGTTTGCCTCCTGAATTAAAGCAGGTGTTTTCTACTCCCTGACAGCTCCAAGCAGTGAACTCTGGCCTTCATAGCTGCAAAAGGACCTCAATACCATGTTTATTTCACTCCAGGTGCCAAAAAAGAGTTAAGAAATGCTCCTAGAGTCAACAAAGGGCTTGGTGCATTTAAATGCAACTAAACCAGCAGGGACAGCCAGCCTGGGGATTTTCTCCAATGCAACCTGAAGTTCTGGGACAGAGGCACATCCCAGTGGATTGAAAACCACAAAGAAAAGAATAGAGGATTAGAACAGGGGAAATCTGTGAGGTAGGATCGCTGGAAGAGAAACAAAAATGAAAGCCATTTGGTCTGGAAAGGGGGAAAAGCAAAAATCCATGAAATGGGGTTGCTAACAACCTAGGCAGCAGAGGAAATTCATTTTCTATGCCTCGATTCCCAGTCATCAGATGTTCTCTGTGCTCATCACAATACAACACAAATTATTTTAACCCTATACAACAGATGAAAATTTGTACAACTTTCATATTATAAGAATTGGAGCTCAGTGACCATTCTGAAAACCAGTACTGTTTTCTAGATACAAGTGGGCTCACTAACCGTGACTCTGAAAGTTGCTGTGTTTCATCTAAGAAGCTTTTAATGAAGCTAATAGTAAATATTTTCATCTTACCAACTTAGCAGCTTGAATTTAAATTTATTTGGATTAAATGGATCTCAAGTCAGTCACTTGCTGTTTTGGGCTTTTGTAGAGCTTTAGCCATAGCTCTATTAAAATCTTGTATTTTTGAGTGCATCTCATTTTCAGTTTTCCTGCCCCATGAGGTGTGAACAGCAGGTATGGTGCCTTGAAACCTCTAGAGACTGGTCAGGGCCTAGAGATAGCTACTAATTGGTAGTTGAAATAAAAACATAAACATTTAAAATCAGTGATATAAACCCCACTCTTTAAAAGAAAAGGATTCCACCTGCCTGGTAAGCACAAGGTCTCAGATTCGATCCCAGGTACAAAAAAAAAAAAAGAAAAAGAAAAAAGAGAAAGGAGGAGGAAGAAGAGGAGAGGAAGGTGTCTCAACACCTATTTAGTGGGGCTAGAATCCAAAAGTCAGCTCACAAGGATTGTTGAGGATGTGGGGAAGTTAGAACCCATACACTGAGGATGAGAAGGCCAAACTGTTCTGGAAACAAGTGTGGCATTTCCACAAATGATGAAACATAGAGTTACCACATGACCCAGCAATTTCACTCCCAGGTATGAGAAATGAAAGTGTATGTTCATACAACAGCTCGTACCTGAATGTTCATAGAAACATTCATAACGTGAATGATTAAATAGTAATATGATTAAAATGGGCTGTGGTGATGGTCACACATATCTGAATACACTAAAAACATTTGAATAGGTTAATTGTAAGGTATATGAATTATATGTCAGTAAAATTGTGGGGGTTTTTTTTATTGCTACTCTAACAAATACCAGAAGCCCACTAACCCAGAAATTTCCATGACTGCTTTCTCCTTTAGAACTGAATTGGAATATAGATATTATAGACTATTGGAGGGGTCTCAATTTTCAGTCTGGTGATTCTACCAGATTTAACCATGGAACACAGGGGGAAATTCCATACTTCAAAAAGCTTGAAATATTGAAGCCATACCCATCATAACAGGGATTCTGAGGGACTTTCAGTTTCCAGGAAGTCTTTTCATAAAGCCAAATAAAATTATTTTAACTTTACACATTAGCCACTCGGAGGGACTCCTAAAGAGTAACCTCACAATGCGAGAGCTGAAAAAGGTCCTGTTTTACTGAATGACAAAAGCTGCACCCTTCCCAATTTGTGGAGTTGTGCTTGCTTGCTAGCTTGCTTGCTTTTTTCTTTCTTTGTTTTATATTTTTGGCTTTGTTTTTTGTTTTGCTTTTCTGAGATGGGGTCTTAGTGTGTAGCCCAAGCTAGGCTTGAACTCACTATGTACCCCAGGTTGGCCTTGAACTCACAGTGATCTTCTTGCCTCAGTCTTCAGAGCGCTGGAATTACAGGCAATGCACACACTCGGTGTGGTTTCTTTTTAATTCTGAGATATAGAAAGGGTGAGAAAGATAACGTCATTTTTATAATGTCGTTCGCTAATTTTATCACGAATTACACATTTTTTTATTAATTTTCCTGTGATAAAAGCAAGGGATGTGACCCCAAAAATGCCTGTAAACACTGATAACATTATTAATGAATATGAGCTGGGCGTGGTGGGAAGCACCTGCATCCGTGTTTTGGGATTACTTGTTTAATTGGAGGCTGAGGCAGGTGAATTGCCATGAGTTCTAAGTCAGCCTGGGCTACATAGTGAGTTCAAGCCCAGCTAAAACTGTGTAGCAAGACTCTGTCTCAAAAAAACAAACAAAAAAAGAATATGAAAGTCTGACTAAATAGGATGGAACAGAAGAAACAAAACAGAAAACATTAGAGCAAAATTCTAAGTCAACTAACTTACAAGACACACAATCTCTGGCAGGTGACTTTATCCTGAGCCTTGGTTTATTCATCTATAAAATGGGGATATTCACATCAGCTCAGTGCAAGTGTGACTGATGCAGTCATCACTTGGGAAATACTTCTCCCTGCCCCTTAGATATAGCATAGATAATTGAGTACTGGTTGAGCTAAAGAAGAACAAAAAGAGAACAGAAGACAAGAAAAAGTGAAGTTAGGAGAAGTCAGAGGTTAACAGTGTAAACCACCAAATCAGCTGAAGTCTGATAATCTTGGGCCAAACTGAGAGATAAGACTTGCTTGTGTTGGAGGGAAAGAAGTATTAGACCAAATAGAAAGCAAACCGAGAGCTAGGCTGGGCCATCGGTAAAGCCTTTGAGGTTTATCTGGGAGCCAGTCCTTGCAAGAGTTTCCTTTGGGGCCTCAAGGAATTAGGTGTGGAAGTGGTGGGAAACAATGGGACCATGTTACAGGTTATGTGTCACAACAGGACACCCAGCTACCAGAAGCTACTGACTTAACAGGGACATTTCAAAGCCTGGATTTTAAGGAAGAAAGTCTTGATGGAAACCTGTCTAGTGCTTGTCAGAGTGTGTCCTTTTTGGTGGTACCTTGGGAGAAGGATAGAGTTGTGCAACTCTGCTGAAAATAGTAAAACCAGTCTCTAACAAGTGAGCAAGGTCCTGGGCTCAAATTTGATACTGGCAATTGAGTGCCCTCTAGTGTTAGTTAGTAGGAAAGACACACTTGGAAAAAGCAAAGTGGAGAAACCCCAGCCCAGTTCTAGCCTTAGAAGAAACCGCCAAAACGCAATATGTACATGGGTACCTGGAAGGCAGAAAAAGTAAAAACAATACAAATTAGTTCTTTTGTAGTGAAGTTCTGGAGCACAGTAGGTATTCACAGTGGTTGTCAAAAGAGCAAATGTCATTAGGTCCATGGCAACTGCCACCTCAGGGTGTGGATTTATAATGAATACACCACCTGTTACAACAATGCAGCAATGGAAAACTCGACTGCTCAAATTGTACTTTCTGAGTGGTAGAGTTGGCTAAGAATCATGGCTGAAATGGAAGAATCTGTTCTGCTAGGTCAATGAAAATGTACTGTCATCAGAACGAATCATCTTTTCCTCACCGAGCTCTGATGAGTCCATCTGCAAGTTTCAGGAAGTAAAGAACACAGATCACCTCTGAGAAAAGATTGCCTGTGATCCCACATTCTGTGAAAGCATAAAACATACTCGAGGAATTTATCACTTGTGCTGACTCGGGTGGAAAAAACATGCCCAGTTCCATAGCCAAAGCTACGCTGGCGTCAATCTGTTACTTGTTGACAGGAGAAGAAAAAAAATTAACCACACAGACTCAGTTCAAATTGCTTACCAGTCTGGCTCTCTGGTTGCTGGAAACTTATATTTAGTGGATTCAACAATATATGCAGCAAATATTCCCTGGCTATTCCAGTTTTGCCTGGAAAGGGGAAAAAAAAAACAAAATTAAAAAAGTCACCCTAGCAAACAGATTCCCATTGAGCAGAGGGCCCAGATTGCTGGGATAGCCAGAAATGCATTGGAACCTGCGTACTGCCTGACTGAACACTTGGGAAGATACTCTGTGTGGTTTGTGGGGGTGAGGGACCTGCAGCATGCCACTTCCTTCACACATGAAATCTACATTTCCTGCTTCTGGCCAATATGAGTACCATGTTGTACTTTAGCCTATATTTAAGTCTCCTAAATAGCCAATTACCTGAAATCGAACATCCAACACAGTGGTCTAAGATTTTTTTTTTCTACAGATTTGACCGGCCCTGCCTTTTAGAGAAAGCTCCAAAAGACATTCCTACCTACTGATGGTTGAGCTTTGGATGACTATGGGGCCTAGAAGTCAACAACCTCAGACACTCTGCAAGGAGGTACCCAGAGCACATATGAAAATGCAAATGACTATTCCAATCTTCACTCTGAGATCAGAAAAATAAAGGGAGAGCAAGTACCTTAAAGGCACAGAGCACATACGGTACCTTCTGGGAAATGTGAAAAAAAAATCCCCTATGTCTCCCACACAAAGTCCTTTAGGAGAGGGTATGGAAACAAGCTGGAATTACTCCACATTTCCAAATGTGAGGGACAGAAGTGAGATCTAGGAGTAAAAATTCAGGCTACCAATTGGCCACCACATTTGACTGGTTTCTATGTTAAATAAGGACTGCAGGAATGAGGTGAGAGAGAAGGCTGAGTCCTGCATGTGCTCTGCACTTGAACAATGGTCCTTACTCACCAGGCTGCATTGAAAATCTGGGAGCCCTGCAGGGGGTTTCTTTTGCAGGCTCACAGCTAAGGCGGAAAGCAATGATGCCTTCTCTCCTCCTGCCTTCTTTCCAGAGCTCTGATTCCAACACCTAGAGTGCTCTCCCAGTGGGTGGGTCAAAATAGCTAAGGAGGAGTGGTGGAGGTAATAATGGCACTGAAAGAAACTGCTCTGAGAACTACAGAGGTCATAGAGGCAGTAGGATATTGTAACAGGATGAAATGAAACACCAAACACAAGAGCATATCGTTCTCATAGCATAGCACAAAAGCTTCTATCTTTACTTATTCAAAAGATATCCTTGATGAAATCTGCTTAACTTTCTGTGTCCTATCCCATATAGCATCTGTAACGCCTGATTTTATTGGAAGACACATTTATCTAAAGAAATCTAAAGTATTTTAACATTCTATTAGATCCCTAAATCTCATTATAAGTTGAGTATATAATGAATTTTGCCATCAAACAGAACTTGCTGCCCTCCAGTTCGCAATGTTGGGTGAAGTATTATACACAAAGCAATTCAGACAATCTCTTGGGATTTTAAACTACATTGGTACTTTATATTATAGGCCATTTTAAGAAGTGTTAAGGCACTTCCTATTCAAAAATGAGACAGATGAATAATAAGACAGAGCACAGGCACTGTTCTGAAGCCCTTTATCCCTACAAGCCCATTTAAGTGACTCTCCACAACTGCTTAGACATGCGCTCAGGATCCTCATCTTACAGGTAGGAAAGACTTCCCTTGTCTTCTCTGTTGCAAAAGGATAATGGAACAAAAGTAAACCCATTCTTTTTCATTTTGTTTTTGGTGTGGATTTTTGGAAACAGGGTCGTGGTTAAGTATTCTAGGCTGGTCTTGAATTCCGGCAATCCTCCCATCTCGACTTCCTGAGTGTGAGTGCAAGGATTACATGCCCAGCAAAGCCCGTTTCTAGCCCAGAGTTAGAGGCTGCAAGTCCATTTCCAACTAGCAGCCTCTATTTAAAACTAGATCAACAACCAGGATTTAGCTTAGTGGTAGCACCAACTTGCCTCAAAAGTGCAAGGTCCAGAGTTGGATCACCATATCAAAAAGAAGCAAAAAAGAAAACTGGATCAACAAGTTTCCTAGCTTTTGCAGTCCAAATGATTCTACTTTCAAGCTCAAAATACAAAAATGAATTTTACTCTCAAATCTAAACTTTACAATGCTGGTTTTGTAATATCATGTGATGCTATTTCATTAGCTATCTGAAAAGCAGAGAAAAAAACATGCTTCTCAAAACCATATATAATACCTTCATAGCAGCAGATAACACAGATAGCATCCCCACTATTCTTTCTCCTCTCCTTGCCCTTCTGCCACCTCTATGCTCCAAAGAGGGTAAGGAATTTCAAAACCAGTTCACTGTGGTGCATAGTTCATAAGGAAAGGAAAAAATCCCCACCAGAATATCAAACTTCCACTCAGTTTTTTTAAAGTTCACCAAAAGCAGAAAATAAGTCTGCTGACCCAGTAAAGCCATCAAAAAGATGTGCTATAACAAATATATGTGCAACTTTCAACATTCTCCCAACAGCCCCATCATTTGCAATGGAGGTAATACTTCAGAGCAATCGGTTTTCCCTTTGTTCATTCTTTTCCATCCCTTTTTCAAGCCAAGCCCCCTCAAGGCAACTATAAATAAGAATGTGTGCATTACTGAGTCATGTTAGTATTACAAGTTTGGGGTTTATTTGGTTTTTTGTTGTTATTTTATTTTCAAAGTGAAAATAACTTCATCCGTTCCTTGAATATAAAAATAATACATGTCTATTACAAAGAATTGGAATGACACATAAAGATACAAACATAAAGGACCGGGGATTTAGCTCAGTGGTTCTACCGCCTGCCTCACAAGCGCAAGGACCGGAGTTTGATCCCCAGTACCAAAAAAAAAAAAAAAACCCCAAAAGATACAATCATAAAAATAAAAGTCCCCTGAAATCTCACCATCCCAACCAGTAACAATGAGGTGAACATCCTTCAGGGCACTGGATGCTCATGTGCACACACGCTCACCTGCATGGACGTTCCCACAGTCTACATGAATGGGGTCATATTATACTTCTGGTTTTTATAATGGGCAATTATCATTCTCTCTTTTTTTTTTTTTGGTACCAGGGATCGAACTCAGGTCCTTGCACTTGCAAGGCAGGTGGTAGAACCGCTGAGCTAAATCCCCGGCCCCGATTATTCTCTTTTCTTCTTCTCCCTCAACATTAATACCCTAAGAGTGTCTCCATATTCCTTTGTAATCATCTTTACATATACATTTTCATATACACCAACATGTATAGGGAGCGTTTGTTCTTTTTTTATAATAATAGAATCGCACTGCACTCATTTTGCATCTTACTTTCCTCACTCACTGATATCTCATAGCAATCTCTCTCAGACATCTGGCAAGGCCATAATTCATTCCCATTTAATGGCCATATAATATTGTATAGAGTAATATATTTTAATTTTTCAGCCATTCCCTAATTAATGGCCATTCACCATGTTTCCAGTTCTTGGCAGTTACAAACAATGTTGTAATAAACATTCTTGTACACATGTCCTTACAAATTAGCACTTTTATTTTTATGGAATAGATTCCTAGGAGTAGGATCCAAGAGTCAAGGGGAATATGTATTTTTAATTTTAATAGATATACCAGATTGCCTTCTACAACAGGCTGGGATGCTTTACAACTTTACCAGCAATGGATGAGAGCACAACTTACCCCACATCCCTGATGGCAACAGGTATTACAGCTCTTCTTAATTTTTGCCCATTTAATGCATCAAAAGCAACATTTCCTTGTTAATTTGCATTTCTCTGACTCTGGGCCACTGATCAGTTTGTGCATAGGGTGATGGGGCTAAAACCCAGTCAACCCATGGCTTGCAAAACAAACATCTTGACTGCTTGGTACAGAGGAAGGGTCCAACTTTTCTAGTTTATAAGCAAGTACTATCAGCGGCTCTTTATTAACCATCCAGAAACATGAGCATATTTGTAGTATAAAACTGTTGAATACTGGAACTTCATGCTTCTGTGAATTTTCTCCTCATCTATTGCCCATTTTTACTGGAATACAAAAAAAAATCTATTTACATTTTTTCTTTTCTGTACCAGGGATCAAACTCAGGTCCTTGTGCTTACAAGGCAGGCAACAAAACCACTGAGCTAAATCCCCAGCCCATACACTATTTAGTTTTAGTTTGGTTTTTTTTTTTTTTGTCAATTTATAAAAGCTAAATTTTATAAAAGCAACTCATAGAAGTTGACTCTAGGGCCGAGAGTATAATTCAGTAGTAGAGCACCTGCCTAGTATGTGCAAGGTCCTAGGTTTGAGAGAGAGAGAGAGAGAGAGATAGAGAGAAAGAGAGAGAGGAAGAAGGAGGAGGAGGAGGAGGAGGAGGAGGAAGACGAAGAGAGAAGAGATAGCTTTTCTCTTTTCTAACTTTCCAAATTATAATGGTGATCGTTACAGAAATTTTTGTTTTCATGTTTCATCATGTAGGGTGATATTTGCTGTTAGTTTTTGGCAAACAGCTTTTGATATGTCTCTTTGTATTACTATTTTCTTAGATTTTCTGTTGGTAATAAAATGAATTTTATCAAATGCCCTTTTAGCCTCTATTCATACGATCCTATAATTTTTTACCATTCTTTAAATCATAAATTTTATTAAGAAATATTTTGATATTGAATCACCTCCACAAAGCCTTTTGGTTGTGGTAGAATACAATTTGTTCTACTGCATTACTAAGCTCTTTTCACTAGGTTCTATTTTCTGGTATTTTATTTAGAGTTTCTCTAAATATATATTTATTAGTAAAATTGGTCCATAATTCTCCCCCAAACCTTTTTGTACTACTCTTATCAAGTTTTGGTTGTAAAATTATACTGGCTTTTACTCGCGAGGCTGAGGCAGGAGGATCGCTGTGAGTTCGAGACCAGCCTGAGCTACACAGTGAGTTCCAGGTCACTCTCAACCACATAGTGAGACCCTGTCTCAGAAAACCAAAAAAAATCAAAAAACAAAAAAAAAAAAAAAAGTTATACTAGCTTTGCAAAATGAATTGAAGGCTTGTCATTTTTTTCTGAAGTACTGTAAATAACCAGAATCATCCGTTTTTGAGGAGGCGTAGGTACCAGGGATTGAACTTAGGACCTTGCATTTACAAGACAGACACGGCTCCACTGAGCTACAGCCCCAATCTAGAATCATCCATTTTTTAAAGCTTAGGAAAACATAGAACTCTAAATCTACCTGACTTTCCACTTTTGCTAGTTTGCTTGCTTGCTTGCTTCTTTTTCGGGTGGTACAGAAGATTGAATCCAGGCCTTGTGCATGCTAGGCAATCAATCACTGAGGTACAACTCTGGCCCCTGGATCCCTCTTTTAATGATAGGTTTTAAAGCATTTATCCAATCTCTTTTCTGGTAAGTAATCTATTCTCATTTTTCATTTCTTCTTGGGTCAGAATTGATGGTTTATATTTTGATAAGAATGATCCATTTTCTCTAGAACTCCAAATTTGCTCTCAGAGTTATACAATGAAATCTCTTATAATTCTTGTCATCGTTTTATTTTTCTGTTATGTCTCCAGTCTCATTAGCTAGTCTGTTCTTACAAACTAGTCTATTTCTTTTCTTTTTACTTTTAAGCTTCTCAAGACAAATATATAGAAAAAAATTGATGCATTATAAGCCATATTCAGTACTGTGTCTTCCTAAAATACATTGTAAGAGAATGCAGTATGAAATTTGAAAGGCAAAAGTATTAGAAATGGGCATAGCATGATAAAGCTCTTGTCTACCATGTGCACAGCCCTGGGTTGAATCCCCAGCACAGCCCCCAACAAGAACATACAATGAAAAAGAATTCTCCTTTCTACTACTATCCCCAGCCATCTAGTACCCCTCCTATGTTACAACCACCTTAGAATAGTTCTTTTTCTCTAGAATAGTTCTTTAAATGATGTTTATCCCATTAATCTTTATTCCTTCTTCATTCTTATCAGATGTGTTTAAGTATGAATTTTTCCTTAAGAATTGCTTTGGTCACAAAAAGGGTTTTAGCATGTTAAGTTTTTTAAATTATTAATTCAGAGTTTTTCTAATTTCTATTGTTTCCTTGATGCATAGGTTATTTGGAAACACTTCTTCATTTAACTCATATTATTTTTCTCGTGTTTTTACTTCCTTCTAATCCGTAGGAGGATTATACATTACCTACCCTCATTGACTTTGGACTTGGCCGTGTGGGTTTCTTGGGCCAAAGGACTAGGAACAGGTGTGCTCCATACTGGAGCTGAGTTTTAACTTTGTGTAGTTTGGTGAGGTCTTTTGCACTCCAGCGCCTTCTGCCATGAGAAAAAGGCATGTTTCACATGTGTTTGCTCCTTCAGTCTGGCACCCAAAATAAAGACACACAAAAGGCAGACCTGAAGCTAACCCATAGCTGGGAGCAGAGCTGCAAGCATGACATTAACAGGGATGAAAAATAAACGTGGGTTGTAAGGCAAGGAGAGTCTGAGTTGGGATGTTTGCAGGGTAACATCACTAAAGTGACAGGCCTTATTTTCTATTTATCATTTTATTATTGATTTCTGGCATGATTGTATTGTTACCATAAAACACATGCTCTATGATTTCAATCATTTGAAATTTGTACCAAATTGCTTTATATAATTCAGTATATATTCAAGTTTTGTAAATATTACTTGGTCTTAAAAAAATATGTACTCTGCAATAACTGGATACATTTTACATATTGATATCCCCATTAAATTCATCAGTCATTATTCAATTGTCCAATCACTTATTGAGAAACATATGCCATTATTATGGATTTGCCAGTTTCTCTTTGTAGTTTTGTTATTTATTGATTCCTGTATTTTAAGCCATGAGTATTAGATGCATTCAAATGTAGATTTATTGTATCATTGTTGTGGATTGAACCTGTAATCGTGATTATCTGTCTATTTTATTTCTAGTTAATGCTCTTTGCCTTCAAGCCTATGTTGTTTAATACTAACATATCCACAAACATTTTTTCTTATTAAGTCTCCTTTAACCCTCAAACTGTTTATATTCTTATGTTTTAGATGTGTTTCTTTTAAACACCAGATAATAAAGTTTAGTTATGGTTTTTGATTTGTTTGTTGGTTGGTTACAGGGTCTCACTATGTAGTTCAGGCTGGCCCTGAACTCACTATATAGCCCAGACTGGCCTCGAACTCATGGTGACCTTGCTGCCTCTGGAAGCTGTGATTATAGGTGTGCACCACACCATGCTCAGCTTGTTTTGTTTTGGTACCAGGGATCAAACTCAGGACCTCACGCTTGCAAACAGGCACTGTGCCACTGAGCTACATCCCCAGCCCTTATGGTTTATTATTTTTTTATCCAATCTAATAATCTTTGTCTCTTAATTATAGCACTTGGCTCACACATAGTTAACATAGATTCTGATATCTGGATTAAAATCTATTATATGCTTTCTACTTGTTTCATATGTCTTATGTTCCTTTCCTTTTCCTTCTTACCTACTTTATTAACAGCATTTCTTATCATGTTCTACCCTCTTCAAAGTTATATGTTCTTTTCCTATTTTAAATTTGTACATTAAACTTACAATATGCACAAGGAAAAAGGAAAGAAAAAAATTACAATACGCATCTTTGAATTGTCAAAATTGAATGTCAGCAATATATCCATCTTCCTCTCAGAAAATACAAGACATATTTTAGAACATTTAACTTCATTCATTCCCCTTCCAACTTACATATTATTATTATCATGTATTTTATTTTAAAACTCTACAATGTTCTTCTATATTATCCATTTATTTACCCTTTTCTTTAGTCTTTATTCTTTCATTTCTCTCCAGACCTCCACCTGAGCTCATTTTCATTCATTCTTCCTGGAAAAAAAAAAAGCTTTAGAATTTTCTTTAGTAAGTTTCCTGGTAATGAACCCTCAGTTTTTGTTTGTCCAATAAAATAACTTTATTTTATCTTCATTTTTCTTATCTAGATAAGCTTATAATTTTGAGATAATTTTAAACATAAAGATATTTGCAAGGGTAGAAAAAAAATCCCATGTTTTCCTAAGCCATCATATTAAAACACTTTAGTATATAATATGGTCTTGTCTTGGGAAGTTTTCTTTGTTTGCTTTTTTAATTTTTTGGGTTTTTGAGTTTTTTGGGTGATTGTATGTTTTGCTTTGTTTTGTTTTAGTACTGGGTTTGCACGCAGATCCTTTGTACTTATCTACATCCCCAGCCCTTTTTTTTAATACTTTATTGTGAGACAATTAGAGAATTATAGGCATGCACAATCACAGTGTGTAATTCTCGTAAGGACATTCTCTATAACCAAAATACAAACAATAAAATCAAGAAATTAACACTATGCACTATTAACATTTAATCTTGAGACAAATTTGGTTTTTTTGGTTTTTTATTTTTTGTTTTTTTTGGTACCAGGGATTGAACTCGGGTCCTTGCGCTTGCAAGGCAGGCCATTGAACTGCTGAGCTAAATCCCCAGCCCTAATCTTGAGACAAATTTGAGTTTTATAAATTGTTCTAATGTCCTCTAGAACACAAAAAAATCCAACTCCAAGAACACTTTGCATTAAATTTTATATCACTTTAGCTTCCTTCAATCCAGAATAGTCTCTCAAAGTCCACAGTTCATAATCTTGACACCTTTGGAAATTACAGGACAGTACTTTGTAGAATGACACTTGATGTGGGGGTAGGTGCTATTTACTTGTGATTAGATTCAGGTTATGTTTTTGGCAGGAATCCCCCAAGAATGACACTGTGTTCTTACTATATCCCACCCAAGAGCACTCATTACTTATTACATTGAGATACATTCTCAAGAAGCATGGGATAAGTGTGTTCCAAGAAAAGGGGGAAGAAGAAAAGAAAAGGGGAGGATTTTGAGAATTAATGATAATGTCTTCTACTGTAATAATTTTTAACTTAAATATTCACTATATTTTTGATCATCCATGTATTTACTTATTGGATCATTTTATAGGCTAAATCATATCCCCCAAAAAACAGGGAACCTCTAACCCCAGCACTCACTTCAGAATATGAGTAAATTTGAACACAGAGCCTTTAAAGAGGTGATTAAGTTAGAAGGAGACCAGTAAAGTGGGCTCCAATCCAATTTAATTTGTGTCATTATGAGGAAATCTGAACACAAAGAAAGACACCAGAGATGGCATGTACAGTGGAAAGGCCATTTGCAGGCCGAAGAAAGAGGTCTCAGAAGAAACCAAACCTGCCAACAATTTGGTCTTGGACTTCTAGCCTCCTGAACTGTGAGAAAATAAATTTCTGTTGTTTAAAGCCACCCAATCTGTGCTAGTTTGTTACAGCAGTCCTAGCGAATGAAAACAAGTCTATCGAACTAAAAACAACCTCGTCTAAAAGCAGCTCCTACAAATGTCTTGTGACAGTCTAGCCTGCCTTAACCAAGTCGAGGCATACCTGTTTCTGAAACAATCTCATGTTCCATAGAAATCCAGTATTCTCTGACAACCACTGGCTGTGCCCAACCTTGGTGTGTCTGTAGAACTATTTGGTCTTACAGTGAAGGGGCCAATGGATTCTGTCACAACATATATTCTGTGCATGTTGTACTGTGATCGACCCTATTCATTCTGATGATGTCCCCAGTGGCTGGACCAAGCCACAACATCTGTAATGTAAATTTACTGAGCAACAGAGAGTATTCTCTCTGACAAGGAAACCAGCTCAGACCTTAGCTTTTTCCTTAGGGTATTGCTTAAATTACTACCTTCTCAGCAAATGTGCATTAAATTGCACTACCATAGTAACTTTAACTTATTCAAAATTTCAGAAACCTAAAAAAATGACTCAAGTCATAGACTCATAGATAAATCCTTTATCTCACCCAGCTTTATTTATCTTGGAATTTATGTCCTGACTTCACAAGGCTGAGAATGATTGCTCTGGCTGCCTGTGCTGTGCGATCTGTTGGGGGTTGGGAGCCCCAGCTGTGCTTTCTCTGCCTCTGACACCTCCCTTGGCAATACACAGAACTCGATTAGGGCTTCCCTAATGACTCCTGCAGCAATGGGCAACACTGTGGCTCGTTAACGGTGGCACTAGCACTGTGGGGCACATGGGAACAAATGTTTATTTGGTTCCAGAAAAATGAGCCAACCCCATTATTAGACACTGTCCACAGAGGTGTGATGTGCAGAAATCATTTATAGAAAAAGAAGCTTATTTTTGCTAAAACCTCCACCATGAGATGAGGTGGCCGAAACTTCTGCAGCAGAAACACACCATAGTTCAATCTCAGTCTTTCTTAGCCTTGTCTGAAGAGGCTGCCTCTTCAGAGAAAGACAGAAATTACACCAGTGCCTCAGAATAAGGAAAGAGATGCCTGGAAACCTTCCCTCTGCAATTCTTTCCCAGCTTTTTCTCAAGGGGGCATAGGTAAGCCTCTAGAAGTCCCACTATGCCAGTGAAGGAAGGATATCATGCAACCTTTTGGGTTCAATTTCAGGGAATTCTCTACTGCTTACCACAGGCCAGGCACTGTTCCAAGTGTGTTGCATGATCCAAGTGCATTTAATCCTTACGTGGAGGTAGATACTTTATTATCTTCACCTTTGAGATAGAAAAAGTAAAGATCAGAGCAAAGTAACATGCCCAGGCCCCACAGCTAAACTGTGAAGAAAAATGTTATGGTTTATATCTGTATGTTCCCTCAAGCCTCATGCACTCAGAGGTGGGCCTGTGAAGGGTGACTGGACTATGGGGGCCGCTGCAGCAGGCTTGGTGTTAGGTCAGAAGAGGTAGATCACTGGGAACGTGACCTGGAAGAGTGCATCTACCTCCCTGGCTCTGCCCATGTCTCTCCCTCTGCTTCCAGTCTACCATGAAGGGAGCAGCTTTTCCTCCACCATGCCCCTCTGGCATGCCATCCTGCCTTAGAGACGGACAACTACAGATTGGAACACGAGCCAAAATACTGTAAACCTCTCTTCCTTTAACTTATTAGTGTCAGGGATTGAGTACCAGCAATGAGAAAGTGACTAAGACAGCAAATAGAGGCCAGCTGATTCCCTGCACCATCTCAACCTCTAGGCTGTGTTCTAGGTGACAGTTAACAATAATAAACAACATTTATAAAGTGTCATCAGTCCAGTGTACAACAAACTTCCAAACAGCATATGTGGTCCGGTTTATCTATAGTGTAACACTTTTCTAATCCGAAAAGAATGATCACAGTACTTCAAATTACCTCCTTGAGTGCATAACAGAGAATTAGATGGTCAAAAGGGAAGAGATGAATTTTGTGAAGGCAGGTAGCCATTCAGTTCAGTGTACAACAAACTTCCAAACAGCATATGTGGTCTGGTTTATCTATAGTGTAACACTTTTCTAATCTGAAAAGAATGATCACAGTACTTCAAATTACCTCGAGTGCATAACAGAGAATTAGATGGTCAAAAGGGAAGAGATGAATTTTGTGAAGGCAGGTAGCCCACTGCTCTTGACTCAGGTGAGAGATGGCATAGGGAAGAGGGGCACAGTTTGAGGCCAAAGAGTTTCCGTAGTTTAGCCTTCATGGTTTACCTGATTTTATGTATGTGAGCTCAGAAAACACAACAGAAAAATTCTTCCCATCTTGCAGGTTCCATCCCAGGATGCCTCCTCCTGGAGCTAGAAACACCTCTATCAGGACTTCTTCCCACTACTGGAGATTTAAACCCAGGGTGCTCTACAACTGGCTACATCCTGCCCTTTTTATTTGCTTTATGACAAAAATCTCACTATGTTGCCCAGTCTGGCTTTGAATTTAGGATCATCCTGCCTTTCATCTCCTGAGTTCCTAGGATTACAAGTGTGCGCGACCACCCCCGGGGGCCCATCAGGATTTTTTAAGCAGCTTCCAGGCACATGAAAACCAGTTCCCTAATGGATTCAGTTCCCATAGCTAAACTGATCCACATTCTCCTCTTCCTTCCTTCTGCCCCCTTCAGGCAATCCTCCTATCAGCATTAAACAGGAATTCAAATACAGAGGAAACCAGGAAAGCCCTGAGATGTGGAATAATTACATCTCTCCATTTTTTTCACTTTGTGCTTTCCTATTTTTAAATTTTCTGCATCAAGCATGCATTAGTAATCGTCACTTTGGTCAGGCTAGGAGACAGCTAGGACTAATACTTTGGAGACACAAGTCTCATCCTAGAGTTTGTGGTTCCAACATTTTATGGTGTCGGTTATTTGGACAAGATTTTTGGAAATTGCTTTTCTCTACCCACATACATAGTTTTAGCAGCATATAATAGGTTCACTATTAGTGGAATATATAACTTCTCAACATCTAAAACATTCTTGCCCATTACCCAGCACTCCCTCTTTTCCAGAATCCCAGCAGTGGAGTCAGTCATCAGCAATTTGCTGAACATGTTGAAGGACTCCAGGGGAGGTCACCCAAAATACAGTGCTGTGGGTGCGCCAGTTACTGAAAAGCAACAACACTTGAGAATCAGCAGATGTTCGAAGAGGTTTTTCTCTGAAGTTCCCCTAAAACCTAGATCCTTAAAAAAAAAGAGAGAGAAACACAATGGCTTCAGTCTCCTCCCTGCTATTATTTTATCAAAAAGAAAGATGAGACTCACATCACAGAAGTAGAGACTGAAAGTCAAACACACAGCCACATGGACCTTTAGCTCAAGCTCTGTCACCTTTCTTCTGAGGGTCCCCATTCATTTCTCCAGAAATAATCTACTTTCCCTATGGCACCTCAACTCCCCACCTCTTTTCTCTATGAATAGGGCACCTAGGATTCCAGGTCGCTTTTCCTTTCTGTGATACCCTCACGCAGATAGTACATTTGAATACCTTTTCTCCTACTACCTGTCAACTGTCAGTTCATTTCCACAGACTCAACTTAAATCACGCTTCTAGAAGTGGGAAGGAAATTTCCCTTTCCGCCTGCAGTATATCATACAAACGATGTTGGAGAGTTTCATAGGATATTTCATTCAGGTTAATTAAACTGAACCTTCAGTAGCTGGGGGAAAGTTCCCATTGCTCCAGCGACAGAATCTTACAAAGGAGTTAGAGTTTTGTGGGATATTTTGTACTAGTTAGGGAAGGGACTAGAGAATTACTCTGGATCCAGATTTCTGGAGACCAAGACACAGCCCTCAATACTACTGAATAAACAATGAAGCCGGGTGGCACGTGCCTGTAATCCCAGCACTGGGGGACTGAGGGGCAGAGACAGGAGGACTATAAATTTGATTCCTGCCTACAAAATTTGGCAAGCTCTGTGTCAAAATTTAGAAGGGCTGGGATGTAGTGTATACCTGAGTTCCAACCCCAGGACCAAAAAAGACTTGCCAAATTCTGATGAAAAGAATATTTTTTCTGGTGTGTGTGTGGGTGTATTTTTTACTTTAATTACACATCTCTTGTACGATATTTTTTTTCCCAGTGCCAAGTACTGAACTCAGGATCTTGTACAGTGCCACTGAGCTACATCCCAGCCTTTGATTATATATATACTTTTTTTTTTTTGTACTGGGGATCAAACTGCCTTGTACTTTCAAGGCAGGCAGCAGAGCCACTGAGCTAAATCCCTGGCCTGGCCTTTGATTATACTTTGTTTTTGTTTTTGTTTTGGTACCAGGGATTGAACTCAGAATCTTGTGCTTGCAAGACGAGTACAGTGCTACTGAGCTAAATCCCCGGCCCCTTTGATTAGATTTTGGATTAGTGTCTGTGATGGGATTTGACAGACATCCTAGTTCCATTAGAAACACATATGCAAGTTTCTATTAAAATGAACACTTCTATCACAGCATTGGGAGGCTGAGGCAGGAGAATAGTGACTTTGGGGCCAGTCTGGGCTATATAATGAACCTTGTCTCATACACACACAAAGATAATACATTACATATGTATCAATTAGTTTAAATTATCTATTTAAATTATGTCTTTTAATAAATCATATATTCAAGTCATCAAAATTTAAAGGCATTGTCTTATCCCCAGCCCCTATCAACTGGGCCTCCTCCCTCATGCCACCATAGCAGATATCACCAGGAAGACACACACACACACACACACACACACACACACACACACACAACCGAGCGTGGTGGTGCATGCCTGTAATCCCAGCACTCACAAGGCTGAGGCAGGAGGATCACTGTGTTTGAGGTCTGCCTAGGCAACATAGTGAGACCTTGTTTCAAAAAAATAAAACAAAACACACACACTTTTCATGTTATATATTACAATACCTTACACAGTGCTCTACACCTTGCTTTTTTCACCAAGAATCTATAATGGAAGTAATTTTATACCAACATAAAGAGGCTCCTCATTCTTTAAAAAAAAAAAAAGTAGTTGCATCTGAATGTACCTTTTTTTTTGTACCTGGGATCAAACACAGGACCTTGTGCTTTCAAGCAATAAACAGCAGCACCACTGAGGTAAATCCCCAGCCTGAATGTACCATTTTTAAAATTTTTTTAATTTAAAACTTTATTACAATTAAAAAAATATATTGCCATTAATCCTCCTGGAGATACTCCACCTTGCTTCAAATGTATTTATACTATTGTTCTTGACACTTTTATTTTACTTTACTTTTTAAAATTAGGATGTGTTTCTGATATATACTAAATCTATTCATCATGGGGTATTGGTAAATATACATATCAATCCTGATCCTTTTTACTTCCTCTTCCCTTCCCCATCTCACATACTTGTAATCACAGCACTCTGGGAGGCTGATGCAGGAGGATCAAAAACTCAAGCCCAGGCTGGGCAACTCAGTGACTCACTGAGACCCTGTTTCCAAATAGAAAGGGCTGGGATGTGTGAACACCCTGGTTCAATGCCCAGTAGTGTGCGCACATGCGTACACACACACACACACACACACACACACACACACACACACACTGTACCATCTTTTTAAAAACTGACCTTCTGGGGCCAGGGATTTAGCTCAGCACCGCTGTGCCTGTCTTGCAAGCTCAGAGTCCTGAGTTGGATCCCTGGTACCCGAAATAAATAAATAAAAACTAAAAACTGATCTTCTACTATTAGACATTATTTGCTTCCAAACTGTTGCTATTATAAACAATGTTCCACGTATCTAAGTAAAAATAAGAAATTTTAAAAATAAATTCCTAGCAGTATAATTGCTTGGTCAAAGTTATGTGCATTTTAACATTTTAATAATGATACATTGCCAAGTTGTCTTCCTTAAAGATTATATGAGATTAAAAAAAAAAAGATTATATCAGAGCTTCACTGAGTACAATTAAGCTTATTAGACATAATGTTAGTCCTAAACAATGAATTTTGTCTAGGTGATTATTAAGGACATCCAGGAAGTACTAATCTATATTCTCTTTATACTGAGTGAGGTTGAACATGGTTTCACGCCCTTTTTTTTTTTTAATGAGGGGATCATGCTATGCTGTCCAGGCTAACCTTGAGCTCCTGGGTTCAAGTGATCCTCCTGCCTCCGCCTCACAAGTACCTGGGACTACAGGTGTGGGCCACTGTATCTTGTTTGTATTTTTCTACCAAATTTATTTGCAGAAACACTTTATATAGTAAGAAAACAAGCTTTTTTCTCATAATATGAGATGCAAATATTTTATAACAAGTTAACATGCCTCTTTCAATTCATGTTATAGTAGCTTTTGCCTTGAGAATATTCTACAAACAAAATGCCTAAGTTTGAGTGCAGGTTTGTGGAACCCTGCAGAAGTTATTAACCAGTTACTTATCTCTCGGTGAGGTGGTGCTGTTAGTTGTACACCCGTCACTGGGTTGTTGTAATTAAAAGAATGAATATGTAGAAAGGTGTCAGAAAATATCTTGCACAAGGCAAAGTCTAGAAGAGTAATTTTTAATGACAAGTTTAATGTTAATTTATCCTAGATCCTACTTCAAAGAAAACAATTATTTGCTTTGGCTTCAAATTCTGGAAATAAAATTTTTAATATTTTTATTTGTGAATAATAAACACCACCTAGATAGTAAGCCGTATGGAGAGCATTTTATCAGTGGGAGCAGCAGAACAAGCAGTAGTTCTTTCTCATAGTAGCATTTATTCCTCACAACAATCTGCTACAGTAGGTTTCCTACCTCATTCTACCAGGCAGGAAACTGAGGCTCAGGTGTCACTTGATTTGCTCAAGGCCAATCTTTTGTGCCTTGATTTTTTTGTTTGTTTGTTTGTTTGTTTGTTTGTTTTTAGACAGGGTCTCACTATGACTGACCTGGAATTCACTATATAGCCCAGGCTGGTCTTGAACTCACAGCGATCCTCCTGCCTCAGCCTCCTGAGTACTGGGATTACAGGCCTGCGACACCATGCCCCACTATTGTGTGCCTTGATTTGCAAATGTTCTCTCATAAATGTTTCTCTCCGTGTCTTTTGAGGTCTCCAAGGCATATCCAGTGCCCACACCACTATTCCCTCTGTGGGGATTCAATGGAGCCCAGTGGAGCCCAGTGGAGCCCAGTGGAGCCCTGGCTGACTGCATTCATTCACTCAGCAAGCCCCAAGCCAACTCCTTCTCCCCTGCTTCCTCTAGTGATCCCAGCTCTTTAGAATGGAATCCTGTTTGCCTCTTCCTAGAGTTCAGGTCTTGCAGATTTCCCCTCTGAAATGTATCTTCCATCTCTGCTCCCTTCCATCCCAGCTGCCAGTCCCTGGCTTGGCCCTGGCTACCTTTCAAAAGGATTGCTCCTCTCACCCTCAACCTGTGTGACATCCCCAAGCACACCTCTAGTTCTGCGGCTCCCCAACTCTCTGATCTCAGAGCCCCCCACTACCTATTCTTTCCCTGCCTCTGAAGCTCTGCATTACCAACCCCAGCCACCTTTGCTTCCAAGACTTTGCTCCCAATTAGTCCAATCTACTCTTTGAACAGGCATCCTCCTGTCTTGCTCATCCACCTCAGGATCCAATACCTCTTCCCTTCAAGGCCACATCTTGAATCGGTCCTACTCTGACTGTATTCCTTTCTCTCATTTCCCTCCTCAGCTAGTCCTTGTCCAAACTGGGCATATATTCGTAAATGATTATTGACTGCATTGCTTTCAAACGGGCAATCAATAAATCCAAAGACCCTGTTTCTGATGGGTCCAACCACTCTTAAGGGGCTGGGTTAACAGGGTCAAAAGACAATGTTAGTCCTGCTGGTGGCCCACAGCAAGCCTGGCCTATTTCCCACAGCTCCCCTCACAAAACTGTCACTTCTGACCAAGTGCCCATCACAGGCACATTTTCCTTGTTGAGGAAATAGCTGCCGGCTGATACCTCGAACAGGCAGGCACACATAGAACATTCTAGAAATGCTGGTTGTGCGAACAAATTTTGAGCTGGCGAGGGCACATGAACATGTCAACTGCCTTGAGACAAGAGGAAAATATACACAGAGAAGGGAAGAGTCTCGCTCAAGGTCACACAGCAAGTAGGAAATAAATAGATATAAAACCAAGGCCACCTGAGTACCAGTTCACGGCAGGGTCTTCTGCCTCTTGGAGCCACGCAGATTTAGGGTCAGCCACTTGAGGTCACTGCCCAAGATGTCACCAGATGTTCATTTCTCTCCCTCATCTCAGGGCCTCCTTTGCCCTCTGTACAACTCATTCCTTACTTCTCCTTCAAATCTCAGCGTTCGTTCGGGGGTGAGGCAGCCGGGGCAAAGCAGAGAAGTCTCCCCCGTGCTCTCAGCCTCCGGCCCCGCCCCCAAGCTCCAGGCGGTAAGAGCTGTCGATTGACGTTGACAGACTGAAGTCCTACCGAATAAGAAGGCGGGGTGGGTCGCCGTAGCCCTATCGGCTGCGAAAATACAACAACAGGCGCACCCAATTGGCTGACACCACAGCTCTATCTTTCCGGGTCTTTCCACGTCTCCAGCGTATTTCTGCAGAGCTGGGCCAGAGGGAGCCAGAAAGTACCCTGTGTTTGAGTAAGTTCAGTGCATTCGTGAGTGTCCTTTGGCGTCGGTGGAGGGGCTGCTGCTGTCTCCTTACGGAGGTCGGGGGTGGGGGGGCTAGGGACGTCCGGGGAGAAGGGCAGGGAGGAGCACGCACGTGGAATACAGGCCTGAGTGGGACGTAGGTGCCGATCTGGGCCCATAAGCCGCGGAGACTGGCCTGTCCTGCGGGGTTGGCTCCATCAGCCTCCCACAAGGGGCTGAAGGGACCCCGAGTGTCGCCGCTGATGTCAGACACTTAAGTGTGTTTGGACGCTGAAGGCCCACCCACCACCTGGCAGTGGCTGGACTGCAGGCCTGTGGGCGGTGTTTCGCCTTAAAGTTCAGATTGTGCTCGAAACCCAGCCTGTATCAGACTGAAAGGGGCGGGGTGAGACTGTCACCTGCCCGAGGTAGTGTCTGGGCTCCTACACCGTAGACTAGGAAGCTTTGGCGTAAACTATTTTGCCGAATTCACATCCACTCGGATTTGTGCGGTAGTGAGAGAGGCAGCATTTCTACTCTAGTTCCTCAGAGTCCCGGGGCCTCCAGCTCTCCCCGGGGGTCTGCAGAAATCGTAACACACCCTCCCTGTTGGAGGTCTGCGGACATTGTCTTGTGAATGGCCGGGCACAGCAAGCAAGAAAGAAAACGATGCGGCAGCTTCCGGGAGAAAACAAAATCCCACAGCCCCCAAATTTGATTTTAAATACCTGGAAATTAGCTGAGATGGTGTCCTGTGGGTTTGCAGATCCAGGTCTGACCAACAGGGTTGGAATCCCAGTTCCACTACTGTGACTCAGAGTATGTTAGCCCTCGAACCCTGTTTGCTCCTGGTAAAATAAGATTTAAAATACCAGCTCAGGGTGGGAAATAATATCCCGCCGCCTGAAGTATTTATTGAACAACTATTAACAGAAAACTTAAGGGTTTTTTGTTTTGTGGGTTTTTTTGGTTGTTGCTGGTTGTTTTGTTGTTTTGTTTTTCACTAAATGGAACTCCACACTGACCTGTCGGCATTTTTCTTTCTCGATACTTAGACCATGTCCGGACTTGCTTTGGGGGGTGGAAACCTGTTCATTCGGCTTTACACACCAGTGGTTTACACATTACAATGCAATGGGCACCAGGATCTTACTGAATTTCCCTGTTGCTGGATATTTAGGATGATTGCCTTTTTAAATATCATAATATGCTGCAGTAAACATCTTTTTGTTTTGGAATATAATTCACATACCATAAAATTCAGTTTTTTTCTAGTACTGGGGATTGGACCCAGTGCTGTAGTGAGTGTTAACTGTATCTCTGACCACCATCTTTTTTTTTGTTTGTTTGTTTGTTTGTTTGGTACCAGGGATCGTTCTCAGGCCCTTGCGCTTGCACGGCAGGCGGCGGAACCACTGAGCTAAATCCCCAGCCCGTCACCACCTTTTTTTTTTTTGAAACATAAAATTTATAAACTGCAAGCTGTGCTCAAACTGGGCAGTCCTCCTGCTCAGCCTCCCAGAATGCTGGCATTACAGGCTTGTGCGACCACATCTGTCTTAAATTCACTATTTTAATTCACTGTGTAGTTGGTCTTGAACTCACTGTGGCTCGGTCTAAACTCAAACTCACAGCATTCCTCGTTCCTTAGCATCCCAAATGCTGGGATCACAGACGTGCCCCACTATACCCTGGCTGTGTGGAGTTTTTAGCTTGTTCTAAAGATTGTTCAAGTAGTAGTAAGTAACATCACTACTATCTAATGCCAGAAGTTTTATCACTACTTAAGCATGTGGTCCAGGGTCCCAGAACTGAGTAGTCGGGCTCTAAACCAAGGCTCCCAGCCATAGAAACTGCCAACAGCCCCAGGGCTTCCCAACTCAGAGGGTTTGCCCAACTGGGAAGACTGCTGCTGTGAGCAGGGGCTACCCTTGTGTGGGCAGAGGGAGTGGATGGGTGCATGTAGGCTGCCCACCGTTCACCCGCCCTCATAGGTTTGCTCTGGGCCGCGGACTGCCGGAGCGGTTATTGGAATGGGTTCTGGAGAAGGGGAAAGGCAACTAGGGTAGGGGTAGGGGCCAGCAGGAAGCCCAGATCAAGGCAGGAAGCCTTTGCAGTGCACTTGCGGGGAGGGGAAACTGCCTTAATGTAAGGCAAATCACCACCTTTGCCAGTAGTTCCACCACTTTGAGAGAGTGCTGCAGGAGGTTTGCAAAGGTCATCCTGAGCAATTTAGGGAAACTAAAAATAAAAGTTCTGGGGGTAGGGCCAGGAATTTAGCTCAGTGATTCTGCCACCTGCTTCTCATTCAAGCGCAAGGTCCCAAGTTCGATCCCAGTACCACAAAAAAAAAGTGCTGGGGGTGTAGCTCAGTATAAAGTCCCTAAATTCAATCCAAGGAATGACAAAAGGATCAGGGGGTTGCTAGGAAGGATGGTGGGCACCTTGCATGGTGGGCACCTTGTGTACCTGTAATCCCAGCATTGTAAATTCAAGCCCAGTCTGGGCAGTTTAGCAGTTTCGTGAGACCTTTCTCAAAATAAAAAATAAAAAAGGAATGACAATATAGCTCAGTGCTCAGGCACTGGGTTCAATCCCCAGTATCTGGGAAAAAAGAAAAAAGTAGGTTACCATGAAGGTCCAGGTTTAAAGTAGGGCCTGAGAAACTGCTCAGGAGTCTGCCTGACTTGTGGATAAACAAAGTCTGAAAGACTGGAAGCCAAAGTTGTTGCATCTGTGAAAGCCATTGGAAGCATTGTACAGACGAAAGGGGTGACCTGCCAGCAAGAGATGGAGAAGCAGAGCAAGTACCTGATTGTAAAGGAAACACTGGCACAAAGGTGGCCTGTGCCTTTGGTCTCAGCCATTCTGGAGCTGAGTTGGGAGAATCACTTTAGCCCAGGAGTTCAGGATCCATCTGGGCAACACAAGATCCTGTCTCAAAGAAAAGAAAAAGGAAACATGAGCAAACCAATCTGATGGACATTTTTCACAGGCAGAAACCAAATTACAGACTAGCAATTCATATGGAAGAAATTATCCAGTTGTTGTTTGTTTTTTTTAGGGTGAGTGTTGTTTTGTTTTGTTTGTTTCTCTGAGACAGGGTCTACTGCATAGTCCAGGATCTTGAAGGATCTTGCAGCCTCCTGAGTGATAAGGTGCCCCAGATGTGTCCATCATGCCTGGTTTATAGCCGCTTTTACAAGGCAGAAAATGAAAGATGTACAGACTATGTTTGCTGAATTTATCATTATTGAGATATAGAATATACACCATTACTTACCAAAATACACACTCCTGCCTGCCCAAATGTACAAAAGATGATGAGGAAGAAGTTTGCGGAAGCACTCTCAGGTATTCACCTTGTTTAGATAGATATTGTAAGAGTACATCCATATTTACCTTTTCAGAAATAGCTGTCAGCCAAATGTATATCTGGTACAGGACAGGTACCACCCACCTGTCATCTAAGAAAGGATCAACAAGCCAATGATGAAGATGAAGAGTTGGATATGCAGAAGAAAGTTAATTTTAAGTACACCCCACCTTCCTTTTTTCTCTTAAAATCACCCAACCAAGGATTACTAAATTATGAAGTTTAGGTGCTGGCTTGCTGAAATGAAATGCTGCCAATATGGGAGAGGAAGGAAATGTATGCTGACTGAAAATAAGAGGTTTTAAAAGAATATTACATATTTGGGCCAGGAATTTAACTCAGTGGCACTGCGCCTGCCTCGCAAACACAAGGTCCTGAGTTCGATCTCTGGTACCACCAAAAAAAAAAAGAATATCATTACATATTTCATATTACATATTATATTATTATTATTATTACATATTAATATTATTACATATTTCAATCATTTCAGCGTCTTATATAGTAATGTATGGACTTTTTCTGTAAGTTCCTCTATTTTTTTTTTTTTTTTTAAAGATTGTGGATTTCAAGGCCAGGCATGATGGCACTTGCCTTTAATCCCAGCACTCAGAAAGCTGAGGCAGGAGGATCGCTGTGAGTTCGAGACCAGCCTGGGCTACTTAGTGAGTTCAAGGCCAGTCTGAACTATGCAGGGAGACCCTGTCTCAAAACAAAACAAAAAAAAAAAAAGATTGTGGATTTCAAAGTATTTATAGTGTTGATGTACTTTGGTCTGGGTGCTGGTGCTGTAGTAAAGTAATTAAAAAACCAAAAGATCTAACAGTTATAGCTTAACTTCCTTTCTGTTGATGCCAGAAAAAGATCATGTATGAGTCTGATTAAATACAAATTCTGTTCCATAAAACCTTAATTAGTGAAGCCAGTTAGTTACCTTTTTATTGAAACAGGACATTTCAAATCTGATGTGTAAATTTACTTTTCAACAAGAGCATAAACAGAACAAGAAAATGTGACACCTAGATCTCACTGGTTTACACATGTGCATCAAGTTAACGTTTTGGCTTAAGTGAAAGTTGCATTCAGCCTCATTCTGGTTTTAACCACTTACCAGTCCAATTATTTAAATACAGGATAACAAAATATCACGTTTGTTAATTTTTATAAGACAATAGAAAATATAAAGAACAGTTTTATCAAATTTATTCAATACAAGAATCAATTGACACGACACCTGCATATGTAAGGTGTCAGTACATAAACACTGCGCTGCCCAAGTGACGCTGGAGGTCAACTGTTAAGTGGTTAGAACAAAACTTTTGTCATACTAAAGTGTTATATATGGCACTACCAATTTTTTGTTTGTTTATTTGTTTGGAGATTAAACCTCGGTACTTTGCTCTAAGATACATTCCCAGCCCTTTAAAACATTTTTTTTTTTAATTTTGAGACAAGGTCTCACTAAATTGCTAAATTGCCCAGGGCTCAGTTTAAACTTGGAATCTTCCTACCCCAGCCTCCCAGAGTGCTAGGATCATAAGAATGCACTATGAACTGGGCATGGTGACACATGCCTGTAATCCCAGCACTCGGGAGGCTGTGGCAGGAGGATCACTTCGAGTTTGAGGCCAGC